CATGTATCATGAAGCTCATGCATTTTATAACAATCAAAACAACAAGAGTTACCTGATTAATCCTTGCATAATTAGAAGTATAATTAAGCAACTAGATGTTCTCCCATGCAGTCTCTTCATCAAGAGTTTACAGCATCTTGTTTCTCTGCATCCAATAAATATGTACCACCTTAGCTATTCTGAAATCATCTCATTTGACCACTGACCTTTCTGCCACTGTACCAGCCTCTTAACACTTTATCACCCCTAGTTACGTGAAAGAAGTTTTCAATCACCTTGCTTATCAGTTGTTGTGCTTCAGACATTTCAGTACTTTTGTTACATGAAATTGTTAAATTCATACCCATATAGGTTATTTTGTTCCACAACATTTTCTTGAATACAATCCCACTCATGTTTAAAAAAAAAGGATTTTATCATTATAAATATGTTTCATACCCCTCCGCCAACAATACACTGTGGACAGAACTGATAAAATCTAATCCTTCCATCTAAGAACACTCTCCCACAAGATGCAACAACGGAAGCCCACTTTCACAAAGTATTGGCCTCAGTGAGTACACACTCTTCAAATCCTAAGATTTTCATAAGTGTTAATGATGTAAGTTAATGACGATGATAATGGTATCTGTTGTGATCCATTAAATGTTTAGTGGATACCAGACAATTTGCTAAGTTTCTGACATGCACTGTTTCATTATGGTAATTGGGAAATCCAATTTCCCATATTGGAATCGGCCATAACAAAGCACTAATTTACAACTTGTGGTCTGCAAAAAGTCTATTGTGTGGCAGCATAGGCAGAACAGACTATTAATGATCCACTCCATTGGCACTTTTTCCAGTAATCTTCAATGCTTGTTCCATTAAAAAAAAAAAAAATTGCTTTCAGTCATGGGCACTGAGCTAGAGGTATCTTTCTGAAACCACAAAACTTCTATCAAATAATTCAGGCAGGGTAAGGTAGACTTTGGCTAAGTTATGCAAAAGCAATTGCACCCTCAGATAATTACACCTTCCAACATCTCAGTGATTTACACAATTATTTCTCCTTCATGCCACATGTCCATCACCTGTCAGTTGTCCCCCTGATCCTTGTCCTCTTCATTCTGGAACTGCAGCCCTGCCCTGGCATACTGCCAATTTTGTGTTACAGAGGGAAGAGAACGAGGTGGAACCCTACAATAGCTCTTAAAGCTTCTACCCTGAAATACAGGTCACACCCACTGATATTTCATTGGCTCAAGGAGGCAGCTAATATTTTAAACAAAAATACAACATTGAAATGGGATGGGGGGAGGGAAGGTAGGGAGTAGAAGCAAGTTGAGTATTATCTTTACTTCATTTCTCTGAGTATGAGTGTCTGGCACTTGTACAACATAGTTAAATATGGTCAATGCTGCCGCTTTCTTCACAGATTTAAGTCTCAAAGAGTACAATATACATAAAAGAAGTCTGAAAAATTCAGAGTAGTCTGTAAGTAGAAGTTACTGTGACTTAATGCTAATTGTAGTACTTCCCATGCCTGGCAGACGGCATGATGTATATGACATCACATTGTCCTTTTCTTTTTCTAAATAACTTTTACTCCAGCAAGAAAACGTTAATGAGACTATTTATACAGACTCCAAATTCAAGAAGATTATGAGTAGACCTCCAATTGCTATACTTTCCTCAGAAACTGCCTCTAATTTAAGCCAATGTATCAGAAACTATTTAAGACCAACTCAGTGAAAATGTCATCGCAGAGATCAAACACCTCAGCAGACCAGATACATAAAACACCAAAATCCAACTAAAACTATCTTCAAAATGGGGAATGTTGGTGCTGAGTTGGACGAGGCAAAATGAAACGATCTCCTGTGAATTGTATCAGAGCTGACAAAAGGTCTCATTATTCTCCATTGATTGGCTAAGAATTCCGATATCTTTATGGCAGTTTCTCCGGCAACCTCTATAGAGCAGGAGCCTTTAATACTGTATCTCTGCTACTACCCAAGGAAGTTAAGAAAATTGAAAGCCTTTTGTGCTTCTTTTTCCACTGAGAGCCTTGAATGGGCTTTTCAAGATAGCCTGGACAATGTGTGTAATATTTTGTTTTAATTTGCAAGGCAGTCTTGTTCATTGTGGTTTGTACCACGGGTCATTTTCACTCCATTTACTCAGAGTAAAAAAATAACTTGCCTGAGGCAGTTCAAAAGTATCTACCTCTCTCTAGACTATGGGAAGACAATGAACTCAGCCTGAGAGTCCCTGGTACCCAGGTGGGCACTTGGTGACCTCTAATCTTGTCCATCAGACCATCGCAGACCATCTGAGGACAGAGCTGGGAAAATGACCATAAACTGCATTTAACCATAAAACAATGGGATAGCCATTGCTTTTTGCCCACCGAAAACCACTCTCCTCCTCTCACTGCCACAGTCCTAAGTGGTTCAGGTAAAGGGCAAAGATCATTTGGTTTCAGGGAAGGAAAACCCCTACCCCAGCTCCCAAGAATTGAATACAACCCAAACCAGTAACAGCCCTCTCATTCTCCTTGCCCAAAAGTTGGTCTAGGGTTGAAGAAGATGTAACCCAGGTCTGAAAAATAGGAGAGTGGAAATCTGCATGTGGGCAGGGACAGGGGGTTACAGGGAATCTTCCAGGAAGGACTTTCCTTAAACACAAAAAACAGAACTTCACACAGAGAAGGTTTGTAACCCATTCATTCCCCTTCCTTCTTTGCTTGCTTGTGACACTGGTATTAGGACACTATGCCTAGGGCCATGGCAGTCATCAGCCACCGGAGGAAAATAAGCCCCTAGTCCAATGTGCTGAAGATGGCAGGATGGAATGAGAAATGGGCTTCTGCTCTAAATGTTGATATTCACTCTACTTTGTTCTCAGGGCCTCCCATCCAGATGAGTTCTATTCTTATCCCATACATGGACTCTAATGTTTGGTCATTTCTTCTTGGGGCTCTCATCCTCTCCATGTACAAGCCTGCTGGGACTTGCAGAAAGTCTCCACAGCAAGAGAGAAAGGACTGAAGCTTTAGCACATCACCATTACCAAAGGTAGCACCGCAGTGCACTGTGGCCCAAAGCCAGGTACATACACTAGGCTAAAAAGAAGTATGTCCAAGAAAACAGTGATGAGACTTAAAATCACGTACTGACAAATAAGGCCTCGCACACAAAGGGCAGATTTACTATCACAAATGGCTACTCATGGAGTTTATTCTATGCAATTAAAAATGGCATTGATGAGGAATGAATCAGAGTCCCAAACAGCTTGCACAGCAGTAATTTTCTCCCATATTCTGCTAGCTCTCAATAGCTAAGGGGAGCCAGGAGTGGTAGGTGTACTGGTTCTGCCAGTGGGAGGATCAAGATTCAAATGATTTTGAGTTTCCTCTGTCATTATTATAATTATTCATAGTCTATCCCCACAGATAACAGAAGGGGACAGTAAAATTTTTAGAACATTACCTGCTTTGTAGGATTTTCCATGGAAACTGAGGGGGAGAATGTTCAAATTTTAAAGTTCTGAAATTAATTTTCTGACCAAAAAATAAAAAACAGCCTAAGATTAAAAAAAAAATAATAACAAATATTAATATGAAGTACTGACGTTATCAGTCCTCTTCCTCAAAACTGACAAATGAGTACCAGGATATTGAAGGATAGATGAAAAAGGATTCATAAAGCAAAGGGGAAACTTCATCCTCCCAAATGGCATGTTTCTCTAATCAAGTTCAAATCAATAAAAGTAAGCAAAGGTGGAGACAAAGATATAAAGGAGAAAGGGAAAAGACCTGTTGGTTACACGGTACCATTAATGAGAACCAAAGCAGCAACGGACAAAGTCTTTTAGAAGAGATCAAAACCAAAGGCCACCCACCAGGTACTGAGCACCAGCGAGCATTACACACATTTTCTTAACAACTCAATAGGTTTAATCAAAGCCAAGAAATTAAGCAGGGATCAATGATACAAATGGAATGGAAAAAACCATTTTCATCATGAATCATCTTTACCTTGAGAATACGTGAGCCAGTGGAGAACCAAACCAATTAGAAGAGCATGACCAAGGATTTACAGCATTCATTCCATTCCAGACCTCTACCTTCCCAATTAACAGAGCACAGGGTTCAATACGTTGTTAGTGAATCGGACAGGAACGATTGGGCCCAACCAAGACACAGAAACAGCTTCGCCCCCACTTTGCCCATTAGAACTTCTCAAACTGATGAGACCGAGCCAGCTAGAACCTGAGAAATGGATGGGCTGGGATCCTAGGGGATTACACAGGAGCAGGAGTATGCATTGCTCACCACCATCAAGGTGGAATGCTAAGCCTGGCAAGAGGCATTCACATAGAGTTGTTCTGCTCTCTAGAGTGGAAATGGGGATCACTGATGCCTGAAGCCACTAACCCCTGTAATGGCATCCATCCAAGTGCCAAAGTTATGAGTCCATCTGTCACTGTGACTTTTAGTATAGTTTATGAATTAGCAACCCACGAATCAGTCGTTTAGAAACCCAATTGAAAAAAAAAAAAAAAAAAAAAAAAAAAAAAAAAAAAAAAAAACTTCTGACCTTGGCAGGTGAAGAAAAAGGCAGTCAGGTATAAGCTAGTATCAAAGCATTCAAAAAGAGGACCCACCCTATAACCTTCAGCTGAACTTGGAAATACTAATTCACTCAAATAAGGCAAAAGAACATCATGTGTTTATGGTTTTGCCAGTGATTATTACATATAGTGAAAGCAGAACATGGGATTTGACATGGCCCTGCCACTTTTGTTGCTTTGCTGTGTTTCAGAACTACCTCCAAAGGTCTGGCTTTCCACATGCTACTGAGAAGCCTGGATAAACCAGGAGAACAGAGCACCCAAGTAGTCGATATAATTTCTGGTAGGATCCCAGAAGACCAGAGCCAAGTGACAGCTTTCAATTTCAACCATGTCTACCAGGAGTACATTTCTCACAAATGACTTTATTATAGCTTACTTACCTTCGCAGTAGGCAGAGTCTCCCTGGACAGAAATGTAGCCATTCTTGCACTCACAAGTAGCTTTTGTATTCCAGTTTTTACACTCTGAGTTTTCACCACATGTAGGTCCTTCTGCACAAAAGTTATGACCTAAAGAAGCAAATAAAATTTTACATTAGAACAAGACTTTCAAGTAATAAACCACGAATTATCTTTACTATTTTGTCACCATGCATGAAAACATACACTGGCAATATGCAAGGGGAGGCTAGGAAGGGGGTGGGAGAGTAGGAATGGGAAACTGGACTACCACATGCTTGAGATGTTTCTCTTTAATGCTTTTCAAAGTATGTTTGATCCAGGCTGACCCTGAATCCCCTTCCCACCACTTTCTTACATAACCAATCTTTTTATAATCGCCTTATTGTAAAACTTATGACTCACAGGAAATATGTACAATGCATCTACATGAATATATAAAATGAACACGACCAGATTGTCAGTATCCCTTGATTACATCTCCCCAAGTCCCCTCCCAGCCATCAAAGAGGACTATCTTGAATTTTGTGTTTATCACTCCCTTGCATGTTTTTATCATTTGCCATATATAGGTGCTTATTTCTAAATAGATCATTCAGTTTATGCCCATTTTGAACTCCACATGAAAGAAATTATATTTTACATATTCTCTATAGTGTATTTTCTATTCATCCCTGCTATTGTCTGTAGCTACAGTTTATTCGTCAATGCTGTATAATACTTTGTGGCATCAATATTCCACCATCTATCCATTATACTACAGATGAGCACTGGGGATATTTGCAGGTTTTGAATCACAAACAACGCGGCAAGAAACATCCCCGAGCAGGTTTCCCAGAGCATCCTTTTTAAACCGTGTGTTCCATATTTATTTTCCCAACATTCCTTTTTGAATCACAGACATGGCTTCCAAGATAATTCTTTTTCTCTCTCAAGTGCCCTTTACAAATTCCTTTAGTGAAGATAATTTGAAAGTGACTGTGCTCAATCTTAATTTGTTTAAATGTCCTTTTGTATTCTTTAATTTTACTCCAGGGTAAGTTCATTTTTATTTCTTCTTCCTATGATTCCTTGGGATTTCTGAATCTAAAGATCAAATCTTTCATCAATTTGGAACATTCGCAGGGAGTGTCTCTTCAGAACCTCTCTTCACCATTTTCTCTATTCTCTCTTTTCAGAACTCCAATCAGATAAATGTTATTCCTTCTCAAGCTCTTCTCCATGCTACTCAGCCTTCCTTTCCTATTTCTATCCCTTTTTCTCTCTGTACTGAATTCTGTGTAACTTCCAGACATATCTTTATTCTCTTTTGGCCTGGGTCATGGTCAGTTTCACTCATCAACAGCATTTTTATTTCACAGATTTTCTAGAATTCTTATTTTGTCTCCTTGGTCAAATCCCACAGTCCCTTTTTCATCTTTTAATTTCCTTTTTTATTTTTTTTGAAGAGCTTTTATTTTTTAACATTTATTTCAAAGAGAGAGACAGAATCCAAGTGGGGGAGGGGAAGAGAGAGAGGCAGACAGAATCTGAAGCAGGTTCCAAGGCTCTGAGCTGTCAGCACAGAGCCCAATGCAGGGTTTGAACTCATGGACCAGGATATCATGACCTGAACTGAAGTTGTACGCTTAACTGACTGAGCCACCCAGGTGCTGCTTAATTTCCTTTTTTAAAAAAGCACGAGACACGTTTGTCTTACATCAATAATTCCAGGATCTTCAGTTTTTGTACATCTGATTTTGTGGTTTGTGGTTTCACTAAGTATTGTGCATGACTTGTTTTCAGTGATTCTTGTTTTCAGTGATTCCTCAGTATGTGAGCACATATTTTTTTATAATTTAATCTGTGGGAATTGAGATTTGGGGTTTAAAATGGCATTTCTTCAGTGAAGGTTTGTGTTTGATTCCTTCAGGTTCCCAAAGGAACCATCAACCCAAGAACACTTTGTATTTTCCTTTGGGACATGATGATTGAGCCACACAGGTAGAATAAATTCAGGCCCTAAGCTTTCAGAAATGCAATCTTTTCTCCTCCATACCCCCTTATCTAGAGTCAAGACTGATAGATCAGTCTCCTTTTGCAAAGGAGGTTTCTCCTAGCCACCCAATGAGGATTCTCCCCTCAAGGTTCTTGATTTATGCATCTCACACAAGCCCCAGACTTTGTCTCCCATCTGTTGGCAGTGTCTATTAGAGGCAGATTCTACCACCAGGGATTAGACATTGCCCTCATGGCAAATCCCAACTCCAGTGTTCTTGCTTATCTCGATGGAATCACTTTTTTCAGTATTTCTCGTCTCTGATTTTTCCCCTTATTGCCAACTCCACCAAATTTGGGGATATTTATGGTGCAGCGTTTTTAGGTGAACTAGGAGGAATATGTTATTCCTACCACAAAAGTTCAAATACAATAAGGTTATGAATGTGCTTTATCAACTTGAACTCAGTACATTTCAGTGAACTATATTGCTAGATCACATATTGTGGTCTCATAGACAAGAATGGTTCTTGGAGGCAGGAGATTTCATTTCTAATACAGGTTCTGCAGCCACAAGCACAATAAATCACTTCACCTACCTAGACAGGTACACTGGGAAGGGACAACATCAGTGATTTTGAAACTATTGCTCAGAGCCTGGGGCACAAATGAGTGGTCAGGGAGGGCTCAAGTCCCCCACCCCGGATTCAACCAAAATAGCTCTGCTTTTATATTTTGCATATTTATCATGTCAACAATAGCTTCTGGCTTTCACCAAGATAAAACTCATTGAATTATATAAACTCCAAGCTTAAATCCTTTTGGTGATGGCATTCTGTAACTTTTTTTTTCCTTTGAAACAGAATTTTAAAAGACACTATTATTAAATAATAAGATTCACACACCTACAATATAATATAATGCATGGCATTACACTTCCTAATACACGTGAATTACTGAGTTAAACTGGCTACTCCATGTAGCACACTTAGAACAATCCTTGGTACATACCAAGAGGTCAACAAATGTTAGCCACAAAGATGAGAAGGATTATGATAACGTTGACAACAACAACTACAGTTCAAAGTAACTTAGTAACACTGTTCTCCTCCACTTCCAGATAAGGAAGAAGATTAAACTATTATGTAGCTAGTAGATGGAGGATGGAGATACCCGGGTTCTAAATTAGGTCTGGTGAACTCCAACGCCCATGTACTTTTCACCATATCCTATATCCTCTCAGACAACAAAACTTCAGGATACAAAGTGAAAGATGTAGCTGTTCCTCAGGACATCAGAGAGTGAATCCATAGATAGTATCAGACTCAGCCTTACTACTTATAACCTGTTAACTGCCCCAATCAAAATGAGAGCAAAAACTTAACTTGCTGGAAACCTACCACCTCTGTCAGTCAAAAACACTGCTACTATGGCTTTAAAGGCTTACAATAACCATTACAAATAAAAAGACTTGAGATTTTGCTACCAAAGGGACCATTTTCAGACATCTTAGCTCAGTGCCAGATAAAGGGGCTACACTTTCCTCCCCATGTCAGAATTGATCAATAATTAAGTTGTCACATTTTCTTTCATTGTGAAGTTCGACCCAAGGTCACATGTGTATCCATTATGACATGTATTCTTTGTTTCTTTTCTCTTTTTTTCCAGGAGACTGCAACTGTCCTTCTTTCTGCATGCATTTGACAGGCAGGAAAAAAGCCACTCAGACAATGTTGATATCCCAATGCATCTCTATCAAGCGTATGCCACGTCAATTCACAATGCAGAAAGTTGGGTAAATTGTATTTTCAAGGACAATGAAGGGCCCATGGGACAAACCAACCTTAATGTCAAATCTACTTTGGCTGGGCCTGACCACTGTGCCAAAAGCATGTGTTTAATTAATTAATCCAGGCTTCCTTTCAAGCAGTATTTATTCACTATCTGCTTGCCTTCCTGCAGGAGTGAATAATCAATATTTATGGGGCATCCATTTCTGTGGACTGAAGCACCCATGCAAGCTTCTGAGAGAAAAGTAAAGATGTTTGAGACATAGTCTCTGCCAGCAAGGAAATTACAAACTAAGGGGAGACAAGCCAAATATAGGGGTAGTATAAATACAAGGCAATCTATGTGAAGTGAGACGTGAATAGTACAAATAATCAGTGTTTCAGAGAAGGAGAAATCACTTCTAGATGATGCAAAACTTGACCTTGAGTTCATCCCAGGTAGAAACATGAGAAGGGGTGGGCACAAATCCTAGAAAAAGGAATGGGACTCCAACCCCGTGAGGAAGAAGGATACAGTTGGAGACTGTCAAATAATCTGGCAGAAATGTAATAATAATAATTAACACAAATGGTAGGCACTCAGCTAAGTGTGCCTTTTACATGCATTATCCCATGTAATTCTATTAACAACCCTACGAAACTGAAATTATTATTTGTACTTTATAGATTCAGCGGATGGAGTTTGGAGAAGTTAATTATGGAAGGTACACAGAGCCAGAAGCCAGAGTCTGAGGCCAAGGTTATCCATTGCCATGTTATTTCACTGCCCTCCCCAAAGCAACAAATTCCTAAGCATTCCGACATCCAAAATATTAAGAAGATATCCTTTTGCACATGAAGACACAAATGGATTACAATTTAGGTTTCTTCTCATCCTCAATATATCTATTTTCTGTGAAGTAATTTCACGTATTTTTTTAATGCTTGTTTATTTCTGAGAAGGGGGGAAGGGCACAAAGAGAGGGGGACAGAGGATCTGAGCAGGCTCCATGCTGACAGCAGAGAGCCCTATTCAGGGCTCAGACTCACAAACAATGAGATCATGACTTGATCTGAAGTCGGATGCTTAACTGACTGAGTTTACTTAACTGTCTGGGTTACTCAGTTACCCCCACACCAGACACCCCAATACCAAATATTTTTAACAAAATATCCTATCTTCAATCACACTAACATCTTCAAAGTCTAGGGTCTAGGTCTGATTTATTTCTCTCAACCAAAGCTACCCACACAAGGGTAACTGGATGGATGGCTTACAGATGGATGTCCACACAAAGTTACCCACACAAGGGTAAGTGGATGTCTGGCTGGACACACAGCCAGACAGAAACATGGGAGGGTAAA